GAGAAGTTAAAGGCTAATTTATAGCCTTGAAACCGCCGTGTCAAGGACCAATCAGGGGGCAACACGTCACTAGGAGCATTTAAGCTAAACGCGTGTCTAATGAAAAGACTAAACGACAGTTACCATGATGAATATGGGGAAATGAAACGACAGCCGTCAAATCACGGCATAGGGAACTAACTACTTCTGTACCCCGATCGCCATTCGGCAAATTGCAAACATTGGCGTTCATACTTCCTAATGCACTCACTATCATTCGAGACATCGGAAGTGGGGGACTTGTGTTGGGATATTGATCCAGAGGCCCAATACCCGGATCAAGAAGGCCCAAGATACCCGGTCCAAGCAACGGGCCCATCACTCTATGATGAGTAGATCCAGTGAAGAATTCATGCCGAACGAGATTCGGCCCAAATAAGGGTTGGCCCAGTAAGAAGACATACCGGACGGAGTTCGGGCTATATATCATACTTGGACCAATTTGACAGCGTCTTCAGCATAGTCCAACATTCCGTTCGAGCAACGGACAACCGGCAAGTGGCCAGGTGCAATTAATGCGAGATTGTGACATCAGCAAGTGGAAACATGGGTGACCAAGTCGGTGGAACAACAGCCAATCAGCATAGGGCAGCCCATGCTCTCCATTAGTATAAATAGAAGGTTTAAAATCATTGTAAGGGTTAACATTTCAATACTCAGGCTCTAGAATAGCATTATTGCTCTTATTTCTTGTATTAAAGTATTGTTTCCGACCTACCGATCGGGAATTTCCTTGTAATCAGACTGGTTAATTAATACAAGTGAGCTTTCGAGTATCAGTGAATTCATATTTTATATTTTGGTTATACACTTTGATTCTGTACCATTCCTGATATATCCAAAGTTCGTGTTGGGCTTTCGGATCTACGGGATTTACCTTCAACACGTACTTTGCATGAGAAGAACTCTTTGTATAGGGGAGAGAGGGGATAGTTCAAATAAAAATTAGTCTAAACGTGTAAAATGAGAATTAATCTAAGTCGTCCAAATTATCATTCTGTGCACAATAACCACTTTCGAAGAAATCTTAATCGATTCACTTTTCGAAAAGTGTATCATGAAAAGTAAAAAGTAGTATACTCCTGAAAAAAGTGAGAACAAATTTTGGCCTTCGATATCTTAGAAATGGATGAATTAAATGAAATGTAATCACAAGAGACAGTTTCAAAAAAAGTGCAAATGTTTATACTACAAAGTGGATAGTTAATGATTAAAATTGCATTCAGGCGTGTAAAAAATGATTGTCAAAATTTTCTAATTTGTGAATGATGGATAGTCTACCCGGGGGTATGTATCCGAAGGGTTACTGCGGGGAGTAACTAGAGAGAAGTCAGAGCAAGTAAGAGAGAGAAAGTGTATTATATATATGAGTTCAAAGCGTATTCCGAATCTGGTTTACAAAGGGGGAATGAGGTTCTATTTATAGTAGCAATAAATGCGAGACGGAGACACGTGTCAAGCATCCAACGGCCGAGGGGTCACATCAACCGGGTGTCACTGGCATTCGCATGTGGCCGCATTTAATGCGGTGGTTGGATGTGACGTTGTACTTGGTACGACGACCCAGGCACATGTGGAGAGGATATTCTTGTCGAGGAAGGTACCCTCAACTGTAGATGATTAGTCGAGGGCTCTTCCTGTCGCAGGCCCCTTTAAGGCCGAGGGCTCCAAGTGCCGAGGGCTACTGTTTTTTGCCGTTTTCTCCCAGTAACTTTGTATGTTGAAAATAGCCTTTCTGTGAGTATCTGGAGCCTTCGGGTAAGGGGTCGAAGGCACCCCTAGTGTGCATTGTCGGTTGCTTGGTACTCGGGGCGCTGTGATTTGGGCCTGCTGTGCTTACCGGGCCTATTGGGCCTTGATTTGAGTAGTAGGAGTCTATGGGCAGTGACGGACCCACTGAGGGTCCCACGGGGTCCCGGGACCCCATGGACCTACAAAAAATACCTATATATGTTTGTATATGTTTTACATAAAATTAAAGTAATCAGTGTATTTATACAATTCAAACTGGTTTAGAACACAAACATGGAGTTAGAGCAATGGTTAGAGGCCCAATTCCAAGGCTCTATACTTTGGGCACCTATTGTTATCATGCACCTCTATAACTCAACTTTTAATCTAATTTTCTCAATCTATACCTGATTTTTTCATAACAAATACTATTATAAAGCCAGTATGTATCCCTAAATTTGAGCTTATCTGTTTTATAAACTAATTTTTTCATGAAACACGTAATTCTTGAATTCACGCACTAAATTTATAATAATTAAAATAAGCAAGTTAAAATCATTTTTTCGGCGAGATGACTGAAGTTACTGTATGAGCATCATCTTAGCCACTTTTTCATATAACTTTTTTTCATATCTTATAACATACTATCCTCTGTATCACATTATTTACAACATCGGAATATATATACACTATTCATATACTTTACTTTGACTACATTTTATTTATTAATATATGTGATTTTTTTTGAAAAATATTGTTAAATCCGTCTCATTACTAAGTCTTATAATCTGATTTTTATTTTATTTTTACTAATACATAATTAAATATAATGACGGTCAAAGTTGTGCGCTGGCAAACGTGACTGTTGCAACTAAAAAGAGACGGAGGAAGTATAATTTAAATATCATTATTTCCTAATATATCAGTTTCAGTCGCTTGAGCCATTATCGCATAATTTGGCTTGATTTGATTTGATCTAAGACTAAAATTAGCCCAACAACAAAGTCCAAGTTACACAAATAAATTGGTAATTGCATTAAATTAAAATAGAAACAAAGCTAACGAATATATTTTAAATAAAAATCCAAATAAAATAATGCGAAGTAATTGGATCGAAATTTTCAAATGTAGGCTTTTTAAATTTGATTTCTCATATGCATGCTCATTATTTTTAGTTGATAGAGGACATTAACTTTATAAAATTTTAGTGCCCGTTTAGTGACTCTGTTTTCGGCTTATCAGGCTTATCAACCAACTTTTCAACCAAACATGTAACTTTTGATTTTGCACGCTGAATTATATAATAATAAGAAAAATAAGGTTGAAGTTACTTTTGAGGCTGTATTGACTGCAGTTGTTGTAGATGACCATTTTATCTATTTTTCATATCATTTCTTCTTTATTTTATTAATATAATATATTTTAAATATAATTTTTCATAATCAGCAGAAACAGTCAATACAACCACTTCAGTCAGAACTTCATAAATTTCAGCAGAATCATCCGATTCAGCCGATTTCAGTGTTACCAAACGGGTTGTAGTTGATAGTAGACATTTCTTTAAAATTGTTGTATACGTTATGTTAACTATGAAATGTTATGCTATTTTACTATTTTACTTCTTCTTTTTATTAATTTTTTATTAATTAGAGTTACATTACAGTAGGGACCCCGTGATTCTGAGTTTCTGGGTCCGGCACTGTCTATGGGCCGGGGGTTCCTGGGCCATATACTCCATCAGTGAACTTTTTTCTTTGTATTGTATTGCATGTTTGTGCTCTACATGTGCACTTTTTGACTTTTGCGATACACATTTGTCATAATAGTTTCATTAAATTTTTTTCATAATCATCGAAATATCACCATGTTTCTAACTTAAAATTTGATCTCTGATATCGCCATGATGAGTTCTTATTTATTCGTCTATGAAGTACTTTTTATTTGAACCCAACTATCTCTATATATATATATATATATAAATAAATATATAAATATAAGTGATCAAATAAGAACACCTCATACTTTTTGAATTGATCTAAATGCTATAAAGGCACACCGACACTTTTATAATACGGAGTAAAAGTCAAATTTTTCGGATGCAACTCTTTGAACGTTAATCACCGTTATAAAGATCGGCCTAGTTGCCCCTAATTGTAGAGGACTAATCGGCCAAGTCGGCCAAGTCGGCCACCTAGGCGCTAGACGCCCCTCACCTACCTGACTAGCGCCTAGCCAGTTTTAGAACAATGACATTAATATGCAATTGCTATTTTATGACTGAATATTATGCAATATTTTGACTCTCAATATGCAATATAAATAACGTAAAGATATATCGTACAAATGTTTGCGCAATAAACACTATTTATACCAGATCCACAATATATATAGTGTAATTTAAATAAAAAGTGATATTCTCGTGCAAAGTACAAAAGATTGCACGTATTCTCTTGCAAGTCATATATATGAAAAAAGAATATATTTTATTAAAGATACGAGAACAACAAAAGTACAAGTCAAAAAGAAAAAATAGTAAATAGAAACAGAGAACAAAGGAAAAACGAGAAAAACGGAGGCTTAACCCTAGGTATGGTGCTAGATTTGCTAGGAAGTTAAAGTTGTGTGTTAAGTAAACGTCAAAGTTTGATTGTAATTAAAAAAGAATGAATGTATTAGGGAGTATTAATTTATTATTAATTTAATATTAATTTATTATTATATGCCTAATGTTAGTTAACTAAAATACTTAAATACTTTAAAGAAAATGAAAAATGTACTTTTTAGTGTCCTAAAGATAAATTGAAGTACATTACAATCACAAAATGAAATGCAAAATGTTATATACTTCCTCCATTCCTTAATTCTTGCAACATTGTGATTTTTGTACTATCCACAGACCTTACTTTGACCACGATTTTCTACTAATATGCATAATCAAATTATTACGTATAAAATGTTATTAAATTCCTATCAATGTGAATTTCCAAAATGTCAAATTTTTATAATGTTTACTAATAGATAATTAAATATAATTACAGTCAAAATTGTATTTTGGTAAATATGAAAGTCAAACTGTTGACTGAATTAAATAACTTAGGGTAGTAAGGTACATGTTTTTTTTGTAGATGCCATTTTATACGAGTTGTATGTGCTCAAAAAATTGGGCCCGTGTTTAAACTTTAAAATGACGTGTTTTCACAAATCTGCCATTTTATATTGAAATGAAATACTCATGGGATATTTTCCTCGATAAAAAACTGAGATTAATTACATCCAATAAGGCAATAACCACTGCTCACCGTTTCCTCCTTGACCACCAACCCATCTGCCTCCTCTCCTTCCATTTCAGCCCCAATTTTCCATTTTCTTACAAGTTCTGCTTCTTTTTTTGGAATCTCTGAATCCCATCTCCAGCAGTTTTTATCCTGACTGGGTTTCCGGCCGATGAGATGGCCGTGAATTGCCCGGACTCCTGCTCGAGGTCGATCAACGAGACGGTGAATGGGTCCCACAAGTTCACCGTCCGGGGTTACTCTCTGGCCAAGGGCATGGGTCTCGGCAAGTACATCTCCAGCGACACCTTCTCCGTCGGCGGCTACGATTGGGCCATCTACTTTTACCCCGACGGCAAGAACGCCGAGGATTCTTCCGCCTACGTCTCTGTCTTCATCGCGCTTGCCAGCGACGGCACAGACGTCAGGGCGTTGTTTGAGCTCACGCTGATGGACCAGAGCGGGAAAGGGAAGCACAAAGTTCATTCCCATTTTGATCGGGCCCTAGAGAGCGGGCCGTATACCTTGAAATACAAAGGGAGCATGTGGTATGTATGTATGTCTACGCTATGTATCGTTATTTCGCCTACGGATAATATCTGATTATCTTCAAATTGGTTTTATTTCATCGTTACGTTTTTAAACTTTTAGTTTCACAGCATTACGTCTATCACAATTTTCAAGGTGTTTGGTGTATAAATGGCATCTGGATTCATATTAGGTCGATTTAGGACATATTTCTGAGATCAAGATGTTTTTTCAAAACTCCTAGTGGTTCCTTTTGTATGTTATTCTGTTTAGTGCACGTATGCCTAGCTCACAACATTGTCTTTTCCACTTCCGTTTGTTTTTTATATGTAATGTGTAAATGATGATTGCTTAGGGCTCCCCCTTTCATGGGATTATTTTGGGATGATGGATGATCCAGAAAATAGTAGTAGTAGTAGTTGTGTGGTAGATCAATCCAGGAGCTAAATATGAATCTGGATTACTTTTTAAAGTAGAGGAAATATGTGTGCTCGTGACCCACAAAAAATCTTAAAAGGAGTTTAAGCTCAATAGGATTTTTTTCTGTTATTGCAACTATCCTTCCAGCTTCATTGAACAACTGTATGACATACTTAAGCTGGCTCAAGCAAATTCCATCTGAGGAAATACTTTTGTTTCTCTGTGACTCTGTCTATAAACTCAAATAATACATTTGCATGGATACTTATTGGACTCAACTGTCAAAACCTATAATGCCTGGAAACGTGGAAAGGCCAGCGTTTCCCGTATCTGAAATGTACTGATGTTTCCAAACGCGAGAAACGTTCAAAATGCGTGTCGGGCCCGTTTCTTAATTTTCAAAAGTTTGGAAACCCGTTTCCCCCAAAAACAGAGTTTCACCAAAAAAGAAAAACCAAAGAAATTAGGAATCTGCGGAGTATCTGCAAACTTCTTCTTCTTCAGTGATTGGCCATCTTCAGTGAAGATTAGTATCTGCTCTTCGTCTTTAGCAGGTCAAGGAAAGTCACAATCTTTTCTCCTTCTGCTATATCGATTGTGTTATCTGCCGTCTCAAGCTGTCCGGCTCTGTTTGTACTTGGGTCTGGTTTGGTTTCTCGACATCACAGTTCTCCCCTGAGTCGGTGGGTGGGATTTGGGGTTGAAATTAAACGTACGAGTAGTATGAGTAATGTTGTAGACTTGGCCTAGTAGGTAAACTTGATGACGTCCAACTGTCCACTAAGTGATTATGAAATTTATTAAACATTTTTCATTCATATATACGGAGTATAGGAATAGGGCAGTAGTGGAGTACTGTAATACTATACGCAGCAAAAGTTGCTACTTAATTTACATATATGTGTGTGTGTAAATATATATATATATATATATATATATATACATATAAAAAATTCACAAATATATTATATATATAATAATTATAAAATAACCCCTATATTTTTAATATTTGCGCGTTTCCCCGCGTTTCGTGTCCTGTATTTTTGGTAAATGGTGTTTCCGACTTTTCCCGTTTCCCATTCCCCGTTTCCTGTTTCTATGCTACTTAGGTCAAAACTATTGACTGCATAGATGAATCAAATATTTAAACAAGCTACCTGTTCTAATGTTCATAAACAGCAAAGTCCTCATGCCTTTTGGAAGCACCAAAATATTCAATAGTGCATTTCATTCCTATCTGATTCAAGAATGATAATTTTTAGACTTTTTGAACTAAGGTTCTATCCTATTATTAGACATCCTTTGCAAATTTAGAAGATCTTGGATGCATATAGATAAGAATGGTCAAGAGGTTCTAGTGTTCAAAAACAGTAAAATCCTCATGAATTTTCAGTTTTTTTGGGGGGCATGTAGGAGAGTTACCTTAGATCATCTGAAACAGCTTATGTTCTATCATCATGATGGGATTTGGGATGGTTACAACAACAACATCCAAGCCTTAATCCCAAAAGAATTTGGGGTCGGCTAACATGAATCGATCTATGATATCGATGCCAAAAAGAGAAGACGGGCAAGAAAAGGAAAAAAAAGATAAAATGAATAAAATAAAGATAAATAAATATAAGATAACATAACACAAGAATATAACAAAGATAAAAGATAAAAAATAAAAGAGCATAAAAAGCTAGAAGATAAAAATAACATAAGAATATAAAAAGATAAGGAAGATAAACGATAAAAGAAAAAAGAGAGGAAAGGTAGACAAGACATCAATCGTCCACACGGATGTGCGCCCTCTACTTTGCTCTCTCCAAACCCATACTCTCATCCAACCCAAGAAGACGCATATCAGTTCTGATTACTCTAATCCAAGTCTGTTTGGGTCTTCCCCTCCATCTCTTCTCTGACTCTTCTCCCCACCCCTCGAGTCGTCTAACAGGTGCATCACTCGGTCTTCTATGCACATGCCCAAACCACCGCAAACGAGACTCCTGCATCTTATTTTCTACATGTGCTACTCCCACCTTTTGTCTGATTACCTTATTCCTCAAGCGGTCTTTTCTGGTATGTCCACACATCCAACACAACATATGCATCTCTGTCACACTCATATTTTGAATGTGGCATTGCTTCACCGCCCAACACTCTACGCCATACATTAATGTCGGCCTAATTGCTGTACGATAAAATTTACCTTTCAGTCTAGTTGGCATACCTCGATCGCATAGAAAACCTGAATTACTTTTCCATTTCATCCACCCAGCTCTGATTCTATGGCATACATCTCCATCTAATTCACCATCCTTCTGAATTATGGATCCCAAGTAACGGAACATATCACACACCGGTATCTCCTTACCATCAAGAGTAATCCCACTGTTGCTACTGCTTCTACCTCCACCGAACTTGCACTCCATATACTCAGTCTTGCTTTGGCTCAGTCTGAAATCCTTGCCTCTCCAATGTTTGTCGCCGTACTTCCAACTTTACTTTAACACCGGATTGTGTCTCATCAATCAATACAATATCGTCGGCAAACATCATGCACCACGGTATATCTTCTTGAATTGACTTCGTAAGTTCATCCATGACTATAGTAAATAAGAAAGGACTCAGAGCAAATCCTTGATGCACTTCGATAGTAATAGGGAACTCTGCGGTCCTCCCTACATTAGTGCGGACACTTGTAGTACAAGCATCATACATATCCATGATGATGCTGATATACTTACGTGATATGCCTTTTCTAGTTAAGGCCCACCAAAGAACTTCTCGAGGTATCCTATCATATGCCTTTTCTAAGTCAATGAACACCAAATGCAGATCCTTTTTAGTGTCTCTATACTTCTCCACAACTTGTCTAAGAAGGTGAATGGCCTCCGTTGTTGAGCGTCCAGGCATAAAACCAAATTGATTCTCCGAATTTTTCACACTTTTACGAAGTCTTTGCTCAACCACTCGCCCCCAAAGTTTCATGGTGTGACATTTGGGATGGTTATATGAAATATTTTAATTCTCAATAGGGTTTTGTATGGGTTTAGGATTAGCATGGTGGGTACTCACTCCCTGAATTCTCAATCCGGTTATAGATCAAACTAATAATCCCCATTTGTAAGTTATAACAATATAATTATAATATACTAAACTAGTAAATCTTAAAATGATATAGTAAACTAATTCCAGAAGGTGCACTACAAGTATTATGTTGTTATTATTATTACTTTTGTTGGATTAGTATGAGTATTAGTTCCCCATTATTACTGTTGTTGTTTATGTTGACTTGGTGCTGTTGTTAGTGTTATTTCTTTATTCAGTTTTAGCCAGCTTCTTGTTAGCCTTTTGCTTTATGTTTTCTTTTACATTAGGACTCATGTAGTAGTTAACTAGTTATATAAAGGTGCACATTATTGATTAATAAATAATATTGGAGAATAATTTGTTTGGAGCCCTGATTAGGTTAGGCGTCTCCTACCTCTTACGAAGGGTGGGGAAGTCAATTGATGCGGCAGAAACACCCTAGCGTCTTTTTCCCCACATTCCCATATCCCAACCAATCTTCTTCATCTTCATATTTCAACTACGTCCATAACAGAATTAAGATGACTTTAAAAAGGTTTATGGTAAGTAGAAAAGATAAAAACAATTAACAGGATGAGTTTAGGTGGTTCCAGGTATTTCAGAAATGGACCAGGATGGGGTTGGGATAAAAATGTTAAAACCTGTTTTTGACAGGATTTGAACTGGCTTTGAGATGGGAAATACTAAATGGGTAAGGTATTCTACCTATTGCCATCTCTATACATGAGCCGTAGCAGTAACCAACAATGAAGTCTCAGCGTCTTACCGTTTCTGCTCGTGTAATTGTGCCAGTATCAGGCTTGCCCGATGCCATCTTTCAACTTTGTTCCATGCATTGAATTTATGTTGCTTCTACCACTGACCATACATCATAACTCCAATTTCAGCAATTTATGTAGGATACACGATCCCAGACTTCTTTTTTTAAAAGAAACAGGACAGACAAATAAAATGGAACCTATCTCTTCGTATATAGAATCACAAGCTATGTTGTAACTATGTAGTTTAGGGTGTCCCGATCTGTATATTCAGGGCCTTCGTTGTGTAGCTCTGTCGTGTACTTATGTCTCTTGTTCAGTAGGAAATTATTCCTTGATGCATATGGACCGATTAAGAGAAGCAGTGTGCATATGTTTTCTCTGTAGAGCGGAATGGAGGTCATCTGGATTTGATTTGGTTCAGTATATGTTGATATGCAACTGTGCATAAAGATTCAAGCTTGTATAGAATACAAGAGGTTTTTGAGTTTTAATAATGTAAAAGAAAAAATGCAGTTGGGGATCGAGCTGTTTTCAATATCAGAGAAGACCTTGATATGATATCATAAACTTTTGGGAGCCAAGGATGCAGGATGCCATGGACTGTAGTTAGAAACATTCTTATTCTGAGTAGCACAAAGTTTGCAGACAAAATGGCCCCACATTAACAGTTTCAGCAAATCAATTTCTTAAAACTAGGAAGCGAACTAGTGTTTGCACTTGATCATATAATTATTAGAGTTTCATATTTTCATTAGTTGCGCAGCGTTCTATCAGAAACAGGATACATTAACAAATGAAAGCATGCAGTCTAAGATTAGGGAACTATATTTTTGTTTTCCTTCTTTTTATGCAGTAGGTGCATACAATTAAATTGCCTGCCACTGTAGGCCCAGATCTTCTAGATTAATATGCCGTGACTATTCTGGCATTTGTAGTTTTATCTTACTTCTTGTAGTCTTTCCATCATTCGCAATGGAGCCATATACTCACAATTTATTGGCTTTGGAATATGATGAAGTAAAGCAAAATGACTTACTCAACTGTTTGTGCTTCTTTGTTATGAAGCAACAGTCCGTCCATGCAATTTTCAACGCGATTTTCACTATGGGTCATTCGGAAACAGTCTCTATGTGCTTTAGTACAGGGGTAAGACTGCATACATCCGACCCCCCTTACCCCACCGAAGGTGCGGGAGCCTTTGCGGCACCGGGGTAATGATGATGATGTATAGAAAAAGATTGACAAACCTCTACAAAACAAAGAATTGACTTTCTTCACCGGGAGTATGGCATTTTTTTTTGAAAAGAAAAAACATTGTAGAGAAATGACTGACTTATCTTCTTCCTTGAATTGTAGGGGTTACAAAAGATTTTTCAAGCGGGCAAGTTTAGAAACCTCTGACTATCTAAAGGATGATTGCCTTTCGATGCATTGTACCGTAGGAGTTGTCAGGACTCGTGTTGAAGGGCCTAAACAATTTAGCATTTCTGTTCCCGCCTCAGACATGGGCCAGAGTCTCAAATACTTGCTAGATTCTGAAATTGGATGTGATATAGTTTTCCAGGTTGGGGAGGAGACATTTAAGGCTCATAAACTAATACTTGCTGCTCGTTCTCCTGTGTTCAAAGCCCAGTTTTTTGGCCTTATTGGGAATCCTAATACAGAGAAAGTAGAACTTGAGGATATAGAACCATCGATATTTAAGGTAATGATTTCTCCCTCCATCACACTATCTATGCCCCATCTTTTATTTTGTCTGTCTCAGTAAGTCACTAAGTGTTCCCCTATGCCCCATAACATATGTGGTAATATTTGTGTGATTCCGATTCATTCATATTTTTATTCATACTTTACAAGTCCAATAACAAACACATTACATTTCTTATTATCATGTCATTTCCCCATGTCCCAATTTTATTCTGAAACATTTTATTTCTTAAGTTATTTACTCAATTGCTTTGTTTCACTGTCCAAACAGTTAAGCTTTAAGTTTCTGCCTATACTCTAACGTTTACTAGTTTACTATTTCTTCCATTCCTGTTTATATTGAGTTTTGGCATTCCTCTCTGTCTTTAAGTTAATTCATGGAACATTACATACTTTCTCCTTATCCCTTACTCTTTAATGATATATGAAGCACAATGGAAAGCATGACAAGAGCTTAAATGTATGGTGAGTTCATAAATAAGGATGAACTATGTTAATTGAGATACGTTCTATCATCTATGTAGTGATTAATTTAAAATTTTAATGTGTTTTTCTTAATATGTGAGTTCCCAGAGAAAGGTGTCGATAAAATAGAGGGAGATATGTCTATAATCAATAGGTGCATATTCTCTGCAAATAATCCATAACTTCTCACACTGAGCAGTCACTTTGGTTATTCAAATTTGTAGGCGATGCTTGAATTTGTTTACTCAGATCAGCTTCCGAATATACATGATGTCACTGGTTCAGCATCAACGTGCACGTCAACAATCATGATGCAACATTTATTGGCTGCAGCCGACCGGTTTAGTTTAGATAGATTGAAACAATTATGCGAGGCAAAACTATGCAAAGAGGTGAATGCAGATACGGTGGCAACAACTCTTTCACTAGCCGATCAGCACCGATGCCTCCAGCTTAAAGACATATGTTTGAAGTTTGCAGCTACAAACTTGGGAGGTATGTGTAATAGAAGATGCGTTATGTGAATGGCTAATTATAGACTATCTAATTAGTATGTGAACTAATTTGACATGTGCAGTGTTAATGGTTATATGGGTCCAATGATGATTAAGATTGTTTTTTTATGTTCGCTTATATTTTTCTGTGACTTTCTGAAAATATGGGCAAGGACTGAATGTCGCCCTTTCTATCCCATTTTGTAAGTCTAAAGTCCCATTTACCTTTCTATTTGATGAACCATCGAGATAGCTTTTTACGAGGACACTTTTACTGCTTGTTTGCTACACACATAATGGAGGGGAAATAGTATGTGGAATCTCATCAGCCAGTTTTTAAATCCTCAGTATGAGAGAGATTTTTGGGAAAAGGGGCAAATAAGCCCTCGAACTAACCGAAAAGTGCGAATCACCCCTTTTGTAGGAGGCTCTGTCCGGCCGTCGCCATTTGGGGTGGTTCCCGGTGGAATTTTTTGATGATTTTTTTGAGCATCTTCTTCATTAAGTCTAGTTTACCCATACCAAATTTCATCTAAAAATGCAATCGGGACGGTAGTCAAATAAATGTTTGAAGATAACTGCGCAGTTAAACAGCACAGTATATTTCAGAAAATCATTTGACTGCCTTCCCGGTTGAATTTTTAGCTGAAATTTGGTATGAGTAAACTAGACTTAATGAAGAAGATGCTCAAAAACATTCATCAAAAAATTCCACCGGGAACTGCCCCAAATGACGATGGTCAGACAGAGCCTCCTATAAAAGGGGTGATTTGCACTTTTTAGATTAGTTCGAGGGCTTATTTGCACCTTTCCCCTAGATTTTTTGTACCCGCGGCCCTTTATAGGAATTGCAAATCCTTGGCCACTCTTATTTGTCTATCACATAGTACTTACTCATTTTCAATACCATTATATACAAAATTTCATTTCAGTAATTTCATTTCATACCACAAAACAATTGATTTTAAATTAATCCACTCTTTTCTTTTGAAGTTTAAGACTCGGTGCCGAATGAGCCGTTCAATGTAAAACTGAAAATTTAATTGCATGTCATTTGTTTTATCCATGTAAAAAGCAATTGGCATTAACTTCGTTAGTACAAGATAGTGTTAGAACAATTTGCTTATATATACACACACTAAAAAGTTGAACTCTCTTAATCAACAGTTGTTATGCAGTCTGAAGGGTTCAAGCACATGGAAGAGAGCTGCCCGTCACTGTTGTCGGAGCTGTTGGAAGCGGTATCAACAATCGATGAAAAGGCAAGTCTCTTGTCTAGTAAGAAGAGGAGCAGCAATAGCAGCATCTTTGGGGTAGACTTATTGTTACTACCCGATGGAGCTGGTGGTGGTGGTGCACCCCCCAATTCTTTTGTCGACCACCATAATAACATTAGGTGTTTGCGGAGGCGGATGTAAAAAAAGACCTAGTGAAGATTTCAGACTGACCTTGGCTGTCTTATGGACTATTTGGAAACCACCCGATGGGTTTCTGTCCATATAAATTAGTTTCAAGCGCGCACATGTAGAAACACGCTTGGCTATTGGTACTTAATATGTTGTCTGCATGTGGTTTTGGTTACTTATTATTAGCTATGAATTGTTCTCATAGACATTCTAAGTGTAGTAGCTATAGCTTATGTCATGTGTTTTGCTCTCTGTTCTAGAAAACCTTGTCTATTCGGATCTAAGTTCTTTACCAGTCTTAGCAGACAGTCATGGTGCATGTGACGCACAAGCCGATGGTCCTCTGGAGAGGGTGGTGGGGTTGGACAATGAAGCGTGGGGTTGGATATAATGTTTTGAAAAGATCTTGGCCATCTGTTCATAAATTGTACGGCTTGTGTCAGACATGAATCGTGCCGTTCAATAGGCAAAATTTCCAAATTATGTTATGTTGACTTTGATGGATTGACCGTGTCTAGTTTTGCTAATCGTTTGCAATGCATGGACTGGTTCACATTGAACATGGATAGTTAGTTGATAAATCATTGTGCTGAATGTTGCATTTGTCCTATACTCCTATGTTATATTTGGGGTCCTGTTATCCCCAACGGGATATATGTGTGGGGTGATGATCCCTCTCTGCTTATGATATTTGAAAAATGGATTACAGGGAAATGTGCCATCTGAGCAAGATCGTTCCGTGCTGAAGCAACTTGTACATTCTTCCTGACAATGCTTGCTGCCCCGTTGGGTTTTTTGCCAAATTGTTTGCCCCGTTGGATAAACCATTTTCATTATGGCCAGAATACTTGTCATTTGTTATCAAGTTGGGAGTAAATGGTGTATAGTCAAACATTAGCTGCACCCTGGAGGAGTGGAGGGCACGCATTATCGGAGCCAAAATGTGGAGTTAGGGGGTCGGAGTTTGAAAATTTTATACAGCGGGTTCAAGGTTTAAATATTTATTCATGTGTTTATATAATAGTTTTATCCTGGAGGCTCCTCTTGAGTCTTGTCTACACGAGTACACGACTACACCATGTGCTAGCAATAATGTGAAATATGAAGAGTATGTAATGCCCCGCTCTCTCAACTGTTGAACTAAGCAAAAACAACCAATACGTTTTTGTTCAGAAATATCAATGATCTTACAATTCCACTATAAGTTTGCCAATACCATATTCGAAATGAAAGTTTCGTTTTTCAGCTCAAGAAATGGCCAGAACCCATCGATGTTAACGCTACTGCCCATTTGATACGACGTTTCTAGCTTTTGGCCCTTCGGGTAGATGTTGGTCCATTGACCTCTTCAATGTCTCAAACGTTAGGTACCCAATAATGCAATCCTGTTTTTGTAAAAAAGAAAGGGATAATTTAAGTTTGCATTCAGTTTTTAAAAAAGCTCTGCTTTTGCACTCCAATCCCGTATGAAAAGACAAAAATGACCCTTCATTAACAATTATGTTGGCCAGTTGGCTTGCAACATATTCCCGATCAAGGGCTTTTTTGTCTTTTCATACGGGGCTAGTGCAAAAACAAAGTTTTTTAAAACGGAATGGAAAATTCAATTTGGACAATAAAATGAGGTGCAAACTCAAATCACCCCAAAAAGAAACACTTCCATGCATCTGGATGGAGCTAGGGATGGACTCGGGTCGGGCTCGAGCCTGCAGGCTTCGGTACTACAAAATTCAGGCTAGGTACTGGCCCGGTTTGTACAGGTATTGGTTCCGGGTCAAGCCCAAACATTATTGGTCCTGGCCCAGGCCGGTACATGCTCATTATTTTTTTAAACTAGGCATTTGGCTCAGGACTGCCTATATATATCCTCAGGTTGGGACCGGGCCCGATTCAGTACTAAATTGTACGGATCTCGGGACGGGCGGCTCGGGCCTAGTCCACCCCTACTGGCCTACATGGAGCCTGGCGGGCTACATGCTATCTTTAAAATAACCATCTCTTCTAATGTTTTTAAGAAAGTAAGTATTTTGTGCATAATTTATTTTTTTACTAAATGTACCAGATCAAAGTGAGAGCATTTTCATATAAAAGTGAATAAATAAAGAAAGGAAAAAGGGGTAAATAAGCCCACATACTAACCAAAAAAGGTCAAATAAACCCTTATATAGGAGGCTATGTTCGGCCGTCGTCATTTGGGGCGATTCCCGGTGGAAAACTTTGATGCAATTTTTGAGCATATTAGTCATTAAGTCTAGTTTAGTCATACCAAATTTCAGCTAAAACTTCAATCGTGAAGGCATTCAAATGAATTCTTGAAGATAACTACGCAGTTAAACGCGCTGTTATCTTCAAAAATTTATTTGAATGCTTTCCCAATTGAATTGTTAGCTGAAATTTGGCATGAGTAAACTAGACTTAATGAATAAAATTTTCAAAATATTTCATCAAAAAATTCCACTGGGAACTGTCCCAAATGTCGACGGCCGGATAGAGCCTCCTATATAAGGGCGTATTTGATCTTTTTTGGTTAGCATGTGGGCTTATTTGCCCTTTTTTCCATAAAGAAATTACTATGAGTTTTGCCTCATTAACTTTCGCATAAAATAAAAAAATACGAATTATGTTGCAGAACTTTTTGCAAATGAGAAAGATAACATTTCTCACTAAATGCAAAATGACAAATTTTAGTAAAATTTAACAAAAATGATGTTTGTACACACTCTTATACACACTTTTGTACACACCTATGTCTGTGAAAGTTTTTTTTTGTCTGTGAACATCGATTCACAAACACTGTTTTGCACAAACAAAATATTGTCTGTGAACCGGATTCACAGACAAAAAAAAAGTTTCATAAACATGGTGTGTATAAAGTGTGTACAAGGATGTGTACATCAAGCATGATTGAAAATTTAAAGTTAGCAATGGGTCAATGGTACTGTGGGGTAAAGTAAAGAGAACAATGGTACTGTGGGGTACGATAAAACTTCTTACGTGGTCGATGTACTTTTGTCTTCAACAAGCGGGTAAGCATTTAATGCAGGGCAAACTATCTGGTTGACTTATTGTTTAAATGTTGTTAATGGCACCGATTATTCATTATTCTTAAGAATAGGTCCCGGAGACTTTTAGTTCATCAGACATCCTCATCCATGAGTTTATTTAAAGATTAATTGGATGATGTGTAAGATTATTTTAAAGATTGTCATTGTGAATGAAAGATTATTTAGTGAGATTATTGAAAAAGAAAATTCGGTATCAAGATTTCAATCCTGAATTATTTTAGATTATAGTTAAATTACATTTAATGCATGTCCGGAAAAAATTGATTATTTGAGTATTATTGTTGATGAAGAGTTTTAAACTTTGAGATTATTTAAAATTTATTAAATAAGTGTGATGTGACAATGATGTGTAATAAAAAAAATGGTTTATTTAGAAAGGATAAATGGAGATGCTCTCATGCTATGGCTATGGGTTTACATACGAGTATAAAATTACATTGATCTTAGTTAATGGTGCCTTAGATGCACGTGATTCCAAGTTTATGTCAGATAAAAAGGAACACAACGAAGTCCTGAAAAAAGGGATACATAGATTATTTAGAACTTTGGGACAATAAAATCTAAAAGGACTACTACCTCCGTTCCTATTAAAACTTCCAAATAGGTTTGGCACAGAGTTTAAGATAGTGGGTATTGTGTGGTGGAGAGTTGTGCAGAAGAGAGAGAGAAATGTGTAAGAAATGTTGTGAACCACAATTTTTTTACTAAAAAGGGAAAGTGGAAGTTTTAATTGGAACAGATGAAAAAGGAAAGTTGGAAGTTTATTTAGGAACGGAGGGAGTATAATTTAGACAATCATATAAAGGGTAATTTGAGTTTGCACCCATTTTATTGTCCAATTTGGACTTTGCACCCCGTTTTTAAAACCCTTTGTTTTTGCACCCCAATCCATATGAAAAGACAAAAATGCCCCTCCATTAACAATTATGTTGGCCTTCAACATATTTCTAATTGAGGGCATTTTAGTCTTTTCATATGGGATTGAGGTGCACAAATAAAGTTTTTTTTAAAAACAGGGTGCAAAGTCCAATTTAGATAATAATATGGGGTGCAAACTCAAATTACCTCATCATATAATTTAGATGCCGTTTGGTAACACTGTTTTTCGGCTTATCAGCCAACTTTTTCACCAAATACGTAATTTTTGTTTTCGCGCGCTGAATTGTGTAATAATAATAAAAAGTAAGGTTGAAGTTACTTTTCTGACTGTATTGGTTGAATTGATTGTAGATGGCCATTTTAGTTATTCTTACATATAATCTTTTAATCATTTTATTACTCCCTCCGTTCCTAAATAAACTTCCAACTTTCTTTTTTCATCCGTTCCAATTAAATTTCCACTTTCTTTTTTTGGTAAAGAATTTGTGGTTCACAACATTTCTTACACATTTCTCTCCCCTCTCCACAACTCTCCACCACACAATACTCACTTTTCTTAAATTGTGTGCCAAAGTGGATTGGAAGATAAAATAGGAACGGAGGTAGTAATAAAATATATTTTAAAAATATTTTTTTAAATCAACCGAATCAAGCATCATAGAATCAGCCGAGCCGAACCTAGAAAAGGGTCGCACCAAAGCTGTTTGAACAGCTATCCTGTTCGGCCCAAGTCTTTATTCGAATAGGTGAGTTTAGGCCATAGGCAATTCAACCCGTTTTTCAAGACTTCTCAATCCCACAAGGGATCCCCATTCATCTCTTGCGCCATCTCTCGCTGCTTCTTCCATAGGTGATCAAGGCACAACTGCTCTTGAGGTATGTATTTTTATTAAACCGTTTAATTATTCGGTTACTCGAACCTGTGGAGATGGTGATCCATGAACTAAACGGGTCATTTTTAAGGGTTGACCTAGATGATGTACTAGCTGTAAATTTCATGCTTCAGCTATATAATCTGTTAGACAATACCACCACCATTGTCGAGACCGCAATGAAGCTCGCGAAATCGTTGAATCCAGGTGTTGTAACTTTGGGCGATATCTTTTAGTATAATCTGAGCTATATAGTAAAGAGTGTTAGTCATAATAATGATGATGATAAAGAACAATGGATGGTTCTGATGGAAAGTGCAGGTTTTGAACGTTACCCCTTAGCCATTATGCAACGAGTCAAGCTAAAATCTCCCCCCGATTTCTCTCCTTAGCTTGGTATGACGAACATCTCCTCTCTGTTTCTTCATGGCACTGAATGGACTTTAAAAAAGTGTGGATTTTTGTACTGCTGGTTTTCCTCAGTGCCGTTAACTGCTGGATTTGAGCTGTTATAGTTTAGAAAAACCACTCGAGATGTTTATTAGTTTTTGCATCTCTGTTCATATCTTTGGTGCCTTTTTTGCCCAGGTTTTTTGTTTTGAGGTTTTTTGATGAGTATATTATCTTCTGCACCTGATTTTTGGAGGTGGGTTGAAATGTAGGAAACAAAATTAAGTTTTAACTGCGTATATGTGTTGATTGCTTTCTATCATTTTGAATGGAGCCAAAGACTCATATATTTTTTGGCTTGGGCATATGGAATAAAGCAAAATGACTCACTAATATGTATGCGCTTCTTTGTTATGAAGCAGTGGTCAGTCCATGCAATTTTCGACGCGATGTTTATCACTCGTCATCCGGAAACGGTCTTTATGTTCTTTAGTACATGAGCAAGGTTGGATACATCCGACCCTACCTTACCCCACTGTAGGTTGGAGCCTTTGCGGGACCGAGATATGTATATGTATTGATTTGCTATTAAATATTGATATTTGGATTTACATTAACAATTAATTATTTGGTCTAACCGATTGCTTCTTTGGTTCTGTTTTTTGTCTTTATAGTCTAATAAATTGCTTCTTAGCCAGCTTGCTATTTATATCATCCACTTGACATTGTTAGTTTACTGGTTAACAAAATTATTTTTATTTTTAGTATAGTTTGAGAATTTTGAGCTCTTATAGTTTGGAAAACCCACTGAAGATGTTTAGTTAGTTTTTGCATCTTTGTCCATATCTTCGGTGCCTTTCTTTCCCAGGTTTTTTGTTTTGGAGTTTTTTTGTTTTGGTTAAGTAAGAGAATGTTATCTTTTGCACCTGTTTTTTGGAGGTGGATACCCCTGCTTTTCTTGAGCTAGAGTTGGGGCTTTTGCATGGACAATTCCCACTGAACACTGTAGAAACTCTACCATCTTCTGACTTGACTTCCCCAAAACTACAAAGCTATGATATTCTGGTTAGATTAAGTGTGTTTTCCCTCTCCTAGAAACAAGAAATTAAATATTGTGAAGGGTTTTAAGACACTTTAATAGCTGTTACAATAGACTATTGTTTAAGGCTCTTATTATAAAGCTCCATGAATTCTTCAATGAATTAGGCATTGCTTTAAATGATGGGGGAAAAGGGGAGTGAGACCTAGTCACAGCCGCAAACAGCTAGTGTTAGGAATGGGCCTATTATTAGAAATAATAATAAGTGGGCCTATTATTGTAGATAATAATAAGTGGGCTTGTATTATAAATAGAAGTACTATAAATAGAAGTCTGGAGTCTAAGAATGGTAGGCGAGTATTCTGTTGAGAATAGGCTGGGAGATTGGGCATCTCGAATAGTCCGAGGCTTGTATACGTTCGATATTGTCTTCTTCTTCTTCAATAGATCTTGTTCCCTGTAAATCTACTGTAATTGTAGTCTGATATACCAGTGTTCTAACTTCTAACATTGGTATCAGAGCATACGTTTCTGGTGATCGTATTAGTGATCGGAAAAGATACGCAACATCAGAAATTTCTCCGTTTCAGCTGTGGATGGTCTGGACAGAGCAAGAATGGAGAAGAAGGTGGATTCACAGGAGAACAAGGTGGATTTGCTGGAAAGGATGCAGGTATCGATGAAGAAGAAATTAACAGAAATAAGAGAGATGGCGGAAAACATAACCAGACAGCTAACTGCGAGGAATGAACAATTTCAGGGGAGAGGGAGATTGCGAGTGGTTACTACTGGGTCGAAGATGTCTTCACCATCCGCTCCTCACACTTCCAGTTCTAAGGCTTCGTCACGAACTGTTTATCCTCAATCATCTTCATCGCAAATCTTTTCTCCCAGTTCGCAAACTGTATCGCAAACTCCTCAACAACCTCATACGCGAGCTTCGATCAGTCCAGTAGCTTCAAGAGGTAATTCAGTTCATTCTAATGTTCATAATCATGGGCGTAGTGATGAACATATTAGAATACCTGGTGGAAAGGTAGATTTACCTCTGTTTAATGGCGAAGGAGCCTAGAACTGGATTATACAAATGGAGAGGCATTTTCGGTTAAATGACTTTGAAGAGGAAGAGAAGGTTGAAGCTTCTAGGGTTGCTATGGAAGATAGGGCTTTGAATTGGTTTTATTTGTGGGAAAATCGGACTGAAGAAACTAATTGGGATACTCTGAAGAAATCTATCATTCGTAGATTTCAACCTGAGTTGATTTCTTCATCCGCCAGCAGTTCACGACCAAGTAAGACTCTATCGAGAGAAGCTTCTTGTTCGCAAATGTCATCGCAAACTATTTCAGCTTTGTCGCGAACAATAGCTCCCAGTTCTCAGGTGTCGTCTCAGTCACAAGCACCTTATACAAGTTCGCCAACTTTTCCACGAGCAGATATCCCCAGTTCGCAGGTTATGTCGCAAATCACTTCTCACTATGCGCAAGTATCAACAGTCTTGCAGGAGTCTGTGAGGGAGCATCAACCATCCTTTGATGATAGGAGTGCTTCTTTTGTCAAAGAAAATGCAGAGAAGTGCACTAAGGGCGATGATGAAAGCAAGGAAAAGGAATCAGATGCCGCTGAATCTAAAGGTTTATCTAATGAAAGAGCAGTTCAAGAAAGGAGGTGTGCTCAAGCCAAGGCATTATCAAGGCATTATCATGGTTCTGGAAGGCGGTCAATCAGGGCAAGGCAAGGTCAATGGAACTTCTTGGTGATATATATGTAAAAGGAGGAGTTGAGAGGAACTACACCAAGGCAATAGAGTGGATATCACTTACTTCCAAGCAACAATTTTATTCGGCTTATAATGATATGGACTATTTCTACATGAAAGGTTATGGGGTGCGGAAGAAGTATGCCCCTACAAAAGATCATTTGGAGAAGGGTGATGATAATGATGAGCTTCGTGGGTTCTCCAACATTGGGGTTATGTATCTGAATGAGCTTGGGGTTAAAAGGGACTTGAAGCTAGCCGGCAAGTATTTGACAGGGGCTGCTAATGAGGGTCAACGAGTAGTCAACACTTGTATATCCTCCATGCTGCAATTCAAACAGGAGATTAATCAGAGGGATACAGTAATAAAAGTGGTTAGCTTGCTGGAGGATATCTTTTCTATGCCCAAATATATAATCAAGGAGGCTTTTCAACCAGTATTTCTGGAAGTCCTAAAGATGTCTACTGATAGAACAACTGAAGTTCAGATGGGTGTCCTTGCAAAGGTTAAAGCTGTAGGGTGTACCTTATCCTCAATATGCTCTGAAAGAATCAAACTCATGGCCGAGAGACTTAGAGAGCAGTATCTACTTGTGAAAAGATATACCTTGGAGAGATCAGATGCTTTTGAACTTGTTCAATGTCTTGAGCAAAGTGAGGTCAATTCTCTTGAAAAGATGTGGGAACAAAGGCAAAGGATACAACAGGAAACACAGATGCTGGAAGATGCAAACTTTTGCAACATAAGAGAGCATTCAGCCTCCAGGACCTTGTTACTACTCCTTGCCTTGTTACTACTCCTTGCAGAGAAGAACAGGAAGATGCAGCTTCAAGTACTGAAGCTAAAGATCCAGAATGCAATGTTGTATCGGGAAGGAAGAGGTGCTAGAATGAAGTGCAAGTGGGAGATCATGGTTGATTCTTATCACCCACCTTGAGGACAAGGTAGTTGTTTAGGGGGGGAGTATTGTTAGGAATGGACCTATTATTAGAAATAATAATAAGTGGGCCTATTATTGTAGATAATAATAAGTGAGCTTGTATTATAAATAGAAGTACTATAAATAGAAGTCTGGAGTCTAAGAATGGTAGGCAAGTATTCTGTTGAGAATAGGCTGGGAGATTGGACATCTCGAATAGTCCGAGGCTTGTATACGTTCGATATTGTCTTCTTCTTCTTCAATAGATCTTGTTCCCTGTAAATCTACTGTAATTGTAGTCTGGTATACCAGTGTTCTAACAACTAGCTTTACGAAACATAAGCAGAACCTAGCAAAAGATTATGATATACTCCTTATTTTACATCTAAAACATATCATATTTTAATGATATGCGGTGCTATAATTTCTATTGATCAAATACTTCATAATATCTTTATTGGAACAAGGCTAATTTCTGGCCTTTTTTACCAACTCGTGTGCGTCCTACTTGTTTCTAGCTGAGTAGCTGACCAAAATGTTCTTCTTTCTGGTTTAGGATGTTCTATAGATTATTCAAAGTACCTTTTCATTCTCTAAATTAACATGTAAATTTGTGTTGCGCGGAGATTAAGAAAAAGTAAAATACGTGGTTGATTTTTTTAGCACTTGTATTTTATATATCATAAATTGGTTTCAATTCATAGTCTTGTAATTACAGTATGTCATTTATATTGCGGGTTGGATCTTTCAGATGTCATCTAAGAAAGATCAAGGGAGTTACTTTATTTGGTCAAATGAAACTGTTGGAATTTTTAATGAAATATGCATCCAGTTCATTCTTAAGAAAGGGAGGGGGCAACAATTTAGGTGGAAGCAAATACAAGCTTTATTTGAGGAGAGAACAAAAAGGAAGTGTTCTTCAAAAAGCTTGAAAAACAAGTTTGACTTTATGAAAAAAGATTGGCGATTGTGGAAATTTTTGAAACGTGATGAGACCGGATTGAGTTGGAATGCAGCCATTGGGACGCTGGATTGTTCAGATGAGTGGTGGAATAAGAAAATCAAGGTATATGTATTACTTAGCTTATTACCTCAGAATTGGGATTATTATAATATTTATTTCAAAGTAAGAATTTTCTTTGTAGGAAAAGACAGAACTAAAGAAGTTCAAGCATAAAGGAATTCCAAAGCACATTGAAGAGCAATGGGATCAAATATTTGGAGACTCAATAGCAACCGAAGTAGAATGTGTGGCTCCAAGTGCTACAATTGAGGAGAATAACAATCAAGAAAATCATCAAGAAACTGTCCATGATAATGCCGATGATTATGAAGTGTACAAGAGTTGCAGTGCCCAACTAGATGAGGGTAATTTATTTCAAAATTTCGTGCATGAGGCTAGTGCAAATGGTCATTCTATTCCTACATCTACAACTGCCGAAGATGCAGGGACCAATGCCATTAGTAAGAAGCGCAAACTAAGACAGTCTAAGGAGTTGGTAAAACTTAGTGAAGTTTTAGAGAAGGGAAATACATGTCTTCAAGCAATTGAACGTCTATTGACAAAAAAGGAGAAAGTTGTTGATGATTGTGTAAGTGTAGGTCATGTCATGAAAATAATGACCAGAATGGCTGATAATGGCGGATTGGTGAGGAGTGGTGATTTGTGGTTTCATAGCATTTGCGTTCTTGATAGTCCAAGTAGAAGACAATTCTTTATCCACTTTAAAGATGACGATGAAAGGCTCAACTGGCTGAAATTTATGCACGCAAAAGGAAAGTTTTGAATATGTTTAGTATGTTATTTGTTTTTACATATTTAATACATGTCATAAAGAACATTTAGGATACAAATTCCTTTATTTAAGTTGGATACTTAATTTTAATTTTTATTTGTTTGGGGTTTAAGTGATTTGTTTTCTTACGATTAGTATGGTTATATTAGAAGAAAATGGCCAAATAGGCACTTCTAGTCTTCTACTATTTCCGATCCATCACTTAAGCACTTCTATTCAAAAAAAATATATACATATGTTTACTTTTAAAATACAATCAATCAAGTTATTTACCTGCTATAGCAGGTTATTTTTAAAAAATAAATTAGGACGATTGATAAATCTTATAAAAATTCATATAAATTTGTATAATAATGTAATAATAATATAAAAAACAGTATAAATGTAAACATAGATAAATATTTAAGAATGTTAAAATAAAAAATAAAAAATCTGAAAACTAATACGGAGTAACATAGAATGAAAATATCAAAAATATAAAATTAAAATGTAAAAACCTTTTGAATAGATGTAAAATTAACAATATTTCAAAAATTCAAAAATATTGACTTTAACATTATGAAAATTTTCACAATTTTTATCTATAATTTTGCATTTTTTTCTTAGAGAGAGTTTTAATATAAAAAACCTGATATTATTGGTCCAAAATTGATTTAATGGCCAAATTGATCAATTTTTGCAATAGGTGTGTGATATAGTATATGTGTTTAAGTGGTGGACTACAAATAGTAGAATAACTTATTTAATCTTTTTTCCGTTATATTTATTTATTTATGTATTTATTTATTTATGTATTTATTTATTTATTTATTTATTTCAAAAGTAATGGAAAATATATGAAAAGATATGATAAAATTTGATCTTCATAAAAAAGAGCGATTTTCGAACAAAAATTTAAAAAACTCTAGATTTAGCAAAATAGATGAATTACCTCGATTGAAGCGGTTGAAAGTCAGTAGAATGGAGCACAAATGACCTCGGGTACATCGTGTCTCTTTTCCCTTTGATTCAAAATTAATCCAACCAACTAAAAAAATAATTCAAATTATACAAATTATATAAATTCAATCATAATAATAACATTAAGAACTTATATATTTCATAACATCAAATACAAAGAAAAAATTAAAAAAAAAACAATAATTTCGAACATTAAATTAAAAAAACCTAGGTTTAGCAAAAGTGGTGAAATACCTCGATTCAAACGTTTAAAAGGCGGTAGAATGGAGCACAAACGACCTCGGGTACACCGTGTCTCTTTTGCGTTTGATTTGAGCTTCGTTTGGAGGCGTTCCGGCTAGGGATGGACTCGGGCCAGGTGGCCCGACCCGGAACCGGCCCGGGACCGGTACTGTTCCGGCCCGGCCCGACCCGGTGGCCCGGTCAGTGACCGGTCCGGCTAGGCCCGGCCCGTGGGTTTTCCGGTCCGGGCTCGGGTCACCCAAAACAAGGCCCGACCCGGCCCGGCCCGGACCCGGACCCGGACCGGACCCGGTGGTTACCCGGGCCGGTCCCGGGTCCACCATTTCTGACCCGCCGGCCCGCCCGGGCCTAGGCCCGACCCGGACCCGGCCCGGACCCGAGTCCAACCCTAGTTCCAGCCGGAATTGGAATCGCTCGCTGTTCATCGTTGGTCGTTCGTGCAGACGGAAGGGGGTGTTTTCTGTTATGTGTTCGTCGGGTGGGAAGAAGGGGGTGTTTTCTGCGAATTAATAAGCCGCCACTTGAAATGGCGGATTTTGTGATACAGAAGGAGAGCCGCCACTTGTGAAGCTATACAAGAACCGCCACTTGGAGTGGCGGCTTTCCTTAACCGTGGTTAATTGCATCAGTATTTTGGCAATTATTTTTAACTCGATAATATTTCAGGAATAATTTATTTAATTAGCATTATTTCGGGAAAAAACTCACTTTAGGGACCTTCCGCCAATATTTTCTAAAGTGGATGAGAAGAGATATAACGAGTAATCCCTATAAATAATCCCAACTTATAATTTTTACACTTTTTATTTAAAATTCACTTGTTATATAGCACGTAATATCTGGCCATGGACCATTATTGGCGGTCGGTCTATATAGTTGGGATTATACAAAAATAATCAATAGTTGGGACTATTGTTAGCGGACTGGCAATAGTTGAGATTATTATTTTCAATTTTTTCATGTTTTTATTCTCAAATAGGATTGTTTTAGTACTATTTTAAAGCATAAGGAATTTCTCATTCCATTATTGCCCCTTGACTGCCCTAAGTCGTATGTGTGCCTCAAAATAAATTCAATACTACTAGCACTAATACGTAGTATAGTGAAGTAGAGTTCATATCCACAGGGAAACGAATACTTTTGTTTTAAGGTTGATTTGATTTAATTAAATAAACACTAAGATGAACGGCTTATATGATTTTGATTAATGAGATAAAAGACTTGGCTTTGCTATTTTCCACTTGTTGATATGTTTGTTGATCCCGGTTATATCTATAACTTATCCCCCCTCGAATACTCAATCGAGGAGTATCTCTAATTCATCGAGGATAGTTATTAACAAAGACCGTTTATTAATAACCCTTACTATTAACCAAGTATAGAAACTGCCATATACCAACTTGATAGTAGCTTTTAATCTCTGAACTCCTTGATGAAATCAATTGAGATAGATAACCTCAACACAACGGTTTCGGTTTAACCAACACAATTAATACCTCTTAAGATTATTAACCACGACCGTGCATTAATAACCCGAAGTTACTTACTTGTGAAACCATCAATGATTAACCATCGGTTCATTGATCATTTTCAGTAGTAGTTAATGTCAAGATGTTAACTAATTGTCATCTTAGCAACACTCTCAACATCAATATAGAGATAGAATATGAGAAAAATTAATATTCAAGGAAAGAAGTAAGAAAATAACTCAAAACTTTAACATTCAACAAGCTTCAAGAGCAAAACCAATTCAAGAAATGGAAGTTTAGCTTCTCATTTGGAGACTAAACAATGCTAGAAAAATATAAAGAAAATACTATTCTAAGTTGAGCTTAAGTGTAGGAAGAAAGGATATCAAATGGGAAGGAAAATGAGTGTATTTATAAGTGTTTGGAGGTGACAATGTAAAATATCCGATCGGGTAAATAGGATACCCGATCGGGTAAAAGACAAATTTTAACAAATATTGCTCCCATGATCATTTGTTCCCGGATTTGATTTAGACACTCGAATCAAGCAACTACCTGATCGGGTATATGCTATATCCGACTGGGTAAATGACTTATTTCCCAAATCTTCACTTTATTTTGTTCTCTTGCACTTTTCTTGACCTTCCAAGGATCCTTTTAATGATCTTTGCCTGGTTTAAACTCAAAATAGTCCTAATCTAAACAAATTACAAACAACTAGGAAAATAAAGTATTACACCAAAAGTATGTAATTTCCCAAACAACAATAAATAAAATTAGTTAAAATTACAAATATAAACAATAACAATTTTATACTATCAAACTCCTCCTACTTAGTCCATTACTCATCCTCGAGTAAAAGTCAACATAACATCTCACAATCCATTGAACAAATAAATTCAAAGGAATAAAATATTAAGTTTGTTCATCCATCCTCAAAATACAAAGAAAAGAGGGTCTTCATGATCTTCAAGAACAAATGTTATTTTCATTGATTGTATCCCAAAAACTCCCAGGTGAAATGAGTTCCTGTATAAACTAAGATAAAATTTTCACTCATTCTCTCACTCTGCCTAGGAGCCTTTTCAGGTATTCATTCCAGCCTCTCTTTTTATTTTCCCTTTTCTCCCAATTCACTCATTTTAGCCACTTTTACTTAGATGCCCAATTTTCTGGTTTTCAACCTAATTAACTAGCATTTTTTCTTTTATTTTCTTTTTGTTTTTTGGTTTTTGTTTTTTTTGAAGAAAATAATGCAAGTTACAAGGTAAAAAATGAATGAGTATATACCAAATGAGTGACTCCCCCTACTTACTCCGAGCACTGTCCCTAGTGCTCCCCGCCATCATCCTCGCCTTTGTAGTCATGATTTTTTTTGTTCTTGAGAATTTGGGATTTTGAGGAGTTTGGGCTAGTTTTTCAGGTTTAAGGTTTGGGGGAGGGATATTGAGTTTTGATGATATGAGAGTGATGAGGGAGGTGAGGAGATTTTTTTAATTAAATTTGGGATTTTGGTGAGGGTTGTGGATGATTTGGAAGATGCTTGGGCGTGGCTATGGTGATATTTGGAGAAGAGGTTCGAAAATTTGGGGAGGATGGGGTGAGGTCCAAACTGATTTTCAAATAAAATTGGGTTAAAACTAGTTTACCCAATCAGGTAAATGAAAAACAAGGGCGGGTTTCCTGATTTTTTGTGGCAGTGATTTTTTTTCGTTTACCCGATCGGGTATTTGGCTTTACCCGATCGGGTAAACAGTTTTTTTAATTGATTTTATTGGCCTAGGGATAGTGCTAAAATAGATGTAAAAAACTCTTAAGTGGCCTCCCACATTTAGAGTCGTTTAGGAGATATCATCTTTTGCCTTTTAATATATTGATTTTATTGGTTTTATATTAAAATATCAATGACTCATTTAATACAGTGTTTACCCGCGGTTATATCCCTTACCCGTTGGGGGCGGTTATGGTTTAAATACAAATTACCTGTTGGGTAATGGAGCAGTTGTGTGGCGGAAAAATTACCCAAAAGGACGAATACGATAATATGCCCGTTGCCATCTCTAGGTCTTGAGAGTAATAAGTTAATCTAAATTGAAATTTATATATAGATGAACAAGACGACCAACCACAGTTGTCTTTAATTTTCACATTATTGCATCTAAATTATTATGTAGGTATTTCAATCCCGTGCAACACACGGGTGGAGTAACTAGTAACAACAACAACAACAAGAATAACAACAATAATATTAATAATAATAATTGTAAGAGTAGTACTCCGTAATACTTCGTATAATAGTAGCATCTTTATTGTTGCGAAAAAAGAGTAGTGCTATCATATACATATACTAAGTATTATGAAATTTTCCCTTTTACAATGCTCTGGTACACTTTCTATTCAGTTAGTGTACTTTTTCACATTTGTAAGAAAGTTCGATTATGTACTAAATTGTCACCCTCATATTTTTTTAAAATTGAATTTTCTGCAAATGTGAAAAAGTGCACCAC